CAGTGGAGACTGCGGATAACCAGTGAAGTAAGAGGGTTTCGAATCTTCAAGCAAGATCTCAAATAAATCTCCTTACTCTTAGCTTTCTTTCTTCTGCATATTCAAAGTCAAATGCCTAATGTGACAGGTGACTCCAGCATATTTGCAAGGCTGGTAAGCATCAAGGAGAAACGTGATTGAGTGGTATTCAGGGAACTTTCGGTTAATTCAAAAATATGTATATGCAGAAGACTGGTAGTGACATCCTCAGTGCCTCAGCCGTGGGAGATGTGAGATGACAGTGGGTAAGCCTGCTTAGGTTATTGGTTCCATCTGCACTATCCTCTTGTCAGGATTTGCAATTCACTGGAAATTACACTTCCCAGAATCCCCTCCGGTGCATCAGTCTGGGTTAAAGGTCATCCACAATGAGGCACTGTTGTAGGATTTGGAAATCTCAGAATGAGGAAGGGCAGGGCAATGCCCACAGTCATAATGTGTGAGGCTGCTTCCAAGTGAGTTAGCCGAGAGTCACCGACCTGTGCAGGTACTTCAGTCTGAGAACTCCAGCAGAGGATTCCAAGGCGGCCCTGATGTCCTATGTAGCTTTCCTACAGCCCTTTAGAGCTTCCAGCCTCCCTGCTGGTGTCTCGTGGTGGTTTGGGCACACTTATCGTTGGGTATTTCCAGGTCCTACCTCTCCCTGTACATAGTCCTCCATTTCTTTTGACACAGTGTCACAGTTTGCCCTTGTTTCATGTGCCCAGTGGGAAGGGTCAAAGTCGGGGTAACTTTCACAGGCACAGAGCTTTGAATAGTCTTTGTGCCTTTGCTGCTCGGTAACTCCGGTCAGCCTTGAGCAGCTCCTGGCACACCCCTCTTTAATGAGAATGGTAATGTCCACTTACTTCCATATATTGTAATAGCAGATTAATAATAACATTGTTTTTGATTCAAACAGGATTGGCTCCCCCAAAGGCACAACGGTCTACTCTATATTCATGTGGATTCTACCTCTGATAACTACTACATAGATTGGAAATGGCTGTTGTACTGGGATGTCTTCTGTTCATATAAGATAGTCAAAGAGATTTTATCTAACAAATGTGTCAACAATCTTTATAACATGGTACTCAATGAGGACACTACATCTAGGTTTCCAGTGGAGATCAGCAGAGACCAAGGATATAGCTCAACGTCCATCCTCCATACTCCAGCAATATGCTGAAATCTTAAAAAGTGTTCTGAGAGAAATATGAGGTGAGTATCCTACACTCCTATGTATTCCAGAACCGAATCATTCTGAGAATGAAGCTCCTGCTTTGAGAGCATCCGTTCCAAGAAAATAATTGTGTAACTCTTTCCAATTCATCTCATTCCCTCTCTACTACTCAAACATCAGTGTTTGACCAATACAATGTTAATAATATGGTATTGTTTAATATAATAATAAAATAATATTATTAAAATAATCATCCTCTTGGAAGTTATGCTTGATAGCTAAATGGGCTCTGGCAATGAGTCAGCAGATATGTCTCCCATCCTTGTTTTCTTTTGAAAGCAATGGGGTTGATGCTGGAGGTGAACAGGGCCAGGCCTTCCGCTGACTGTGCTCACACTTGCCACATCACAGAGCTATGGAAGACACTAACTCTTCCCTTAAGTTTCATGACTCAACTTTTACTTATGGGAGTCAGATTTCCATTATGGTAACAACAGATACCTGACACAATTTTTTTGGCTTACAGTTTGGGGGACCTCGGTCCATGTTTGGTTGATTCATTGTTTCTGAGCCTGATACAAAGCACACACTGTTACATCATGCCATAGCAGATATATCCATATGAGGAAGGCTCTTACCTTATAGCAAGAAGCAAAGGGGAAGAGGAGGAAGAACTGTGACTTGCAGGTATGCCCTCCATGATGTGATTTCCTCCTAATAAGCCCCACCCCACTACTTAATGGCTCCACAACTCTCATGGGCTAGAGAGCACTATGAGCTTTGCAGGGTACTGACACAAATCCCCAAAAATATGCAGCGAGTTTTAAGAACCCCATGATAGGCATTGTAGATACAGATGCAAGAAAGTAGGTACAGGATTTTCTACTCCAAACAAAAACTGGTATCTATGGAAAACTTACCAAATAGGAGTGTAGACAGTAGAATTGGACAAGCCCACCCACACCCTGGAAATGTGGTATTTAATTATGTAACTGAAGGACTGAGGTGTCTTTAGCAGAAAGGAGGGCAGAGAGTTAGGTTTGCCTCTCACAGGATTTCCATCTGGGAGTTAAAGACATATACACAGGATGGCTCTCACAGAAAGAAGAAGATGCACAATTACATTAGGAACTGGAAAGAAATATGCTAGGGGCTCTCAAGAGAGAGAAAACACAATACATCTCAAAGCAGGAAGTTTCAGGCAGAATCAGGAAGTTCTGCACATGACTACACTTACGACAGGCGGCATACAAAGAAGTAACAAACAGAAGAATCCAGTCCACCACTTCCTGATCATCAGTCTAGGCTCATTTTCTCTTCACATTTTACTACCATTCTTGAGACAAGGATTCTGGCCCCATCAAATTCGACATTGGGAGTTACAGAAAAGGACAAGTGGAAATAGAATAGGCATAGGAAAACAGCAATTTGCACGTGAACACGAGTGCCTAGCCACCAGTTTTTGTAGTTGTTGATGCGGAAGGAAAATAGATTGGGAACTGGGTGGATCAAAATTGTATTCAAGTTCCAGCTCTGATACTGTAGATCAAACATTTGGAAAGATTCTGACAGGAGTGACATAGATTGCCTTCACACCGTGAAAGGAAGCCCTCGGCATAGGTGCTCACAAGTCATTTCCACGAAGGAATTTATAACTAGCATTTGAATGCTTTGCTGATATATATAATCAGAATTTAGAACGATAGACTTAAATATAAAAACAACATGGCGTTAAGTAGTTTCACTTATTGTACCAAAGCAACAATGGCTTTTTCCATGTGGTTGTGTAATTCAGGCTAAGACAAAGCAAAGTGGTTGTGCCATTTCCTTAGTTAGACACCAAAACCACAGCCGGCCTTCAGGAGCTTCTTTGTCTCTCTGTCTCCTTGTGACCATGCACCCAAAGGACACTGTTACATGATGCAGAATCTATTTTCAACACCCAACTTAGGAGCCCAGGACCAGGGGAGCAAGTAATAAGTACATTAAGTCTATGGGGCTATTCCTCAGTAAACTGGGCTATTGGGTGTTAGATTCATTTAAATAACATTTTCTATTTTTTTCCAATTTTTAGGCTATAACGTTATTCAGGAGTATTGGTTTATGTTCTTGGTAATTTTTTGCACATATCAAATGCAGTAAAACTTGGACTGGAGATGTAGTTCATAAATAGAATACTTGTCTTACATAGGACACCTGGGTTTAGTCCCCAACATCACAACGCAAACACACACACACACACACACACACACAATATGCTTAAAACATACCTTCCTTTATCCATCCAAGGCTTATATTTTACTACTAAATTAAAAGATAATATTTGACTCATTCTTGAGGAATACCTAAGTCATCTCATCAGATTTCCCTATTGTGAAATCTGAAAGGCAGATAGTCTTTGAAAGTAGACTTGGGGGGTCTTGGAGACTTTAGTTTCCATGCAAATTACTCAGTAGGATAAACAGTACAATTATCCTTACCACAGTACCAAAAAAGCAATACACTGGTGAAAAATAAAGCTATTTTTTATAGTATTTGCAGTATTCCTTGTAGTAGTGTTAACTCTGTTACTCTTTTTCCCAATATTATTTTCCGTGGGCAATCCTGCCCAAAAGTCCCAAGAGAAGTGTTCTAGACCTTCAGGAAAGCACCCATTGCAGAGACCTGTTCATCTCCCCAAGATAGCAATATTACCTATTACAATTGACGGAGCAAAACTGACATTTGCAAAGCTGACACTTGAAGAAAATGACAGCTAACTCTAACAAGGTCAAAAGTCACATATAGGAGCATTCCGTCAATGCCCATAGGTCAGCCAGTCAAGTCAAGGCCAAGTCACAGACTCCTGAAGGTCAACATCTCTCTTACTTACTTCGTGCAGACTATTAATGCCCCAGTCACACAGAAAATAAGATGCCACCACCTCTGAAGCCTCTCTGTAGCCTTTTACACCATCCATGCAGTATAACAATGATGACCAAGTGAGCACTTATTCAGTGACCCCCAATGGGATTTTTGCACTGGAGAAAGCAGTGTTTAAAGTACACAATGTCCTTCTTCTAAGCCTGTCCTTATTTAACCTTGAAAGACAGATTCCCAGTTAAGAAACAGATATCTGATCATGGGAGGCTATGACAGTAGACACGTCAGACCACGTGACCTCCTCTTGCCCTCAGTAATTCCAGCTCAGCCAGTAACATATTCCTTGGCCCCAGAAGATAGTTAAGGGACAAGACTCTTCCAAATGATATTTATATGTCAGTATTCTGCTTGCTTTTGAAACTTAATATGTCCAAAATGGCAAAAGGATTACAATACTAAAAGAATCAAACAAATCAAATTATGTTTCCAGAACCAGAGAAGCCGGCAGAAGTCAAGACTTGCTCTGAAGCTGCCAGGCAAACTCAAGTTTCTTGAGCTGCAATCTAGAGTTCACCCTCTTTGAAATTACATATTTCAACTCTTATATTTCCACACATTGTTATTTGAACAAATACTGCTCAGTTCCCACATCTCTCCATTCCTATTACTGTATAGAATGGTCTTCTACGTAACTGTTAAATACTATAATCTTTCTGTTTAACAGGGGGTTCCAAAATTATACCATGGGTTTATGTCTCCCTGCTTATCTGGGTTAAAATCTTTAGGTTTGTTAGTACAGATTTCCCGTCAAGAGCCTAAAAACCCCTGGGCTCCTTGTCACAGGACAGGCGCAGTAAGGATCACAGAGCTCCAGAGTTCTCTATAGTCAGGCCTTCAGGCTCCAGTCACTGACAGCAACAGAAAGCTGAGTTCCTACCTCGATGACTGGTGAGCTCTCTGGATGCAGAAGGCAGGGGTGTGTACGGGAGGTGTCCCTCTGGAGAGGCAGCATCATCCTCACTGGAAGCCTGCAAGATAAAAGCAAAATGTTACCTTGGAGAAACACCAAATGCCACGCCATATCCTTGTTTACTAAATCATTTCCCTGGGATCTGAGTTTGGAGAGAATGGGATCCACTTGACCTTCCTTTACTTGTTGAGATAGAGCTCTAGTCAACCTGAGATAGTAGGGCACAACATTGTGAGGTGCTCTGAGATAGAGGACTGTTTGTGGTCATCACTGTTATACAGAGCTGGAAGGAGAGGAGGAAGAACAGGAAGAAGGCAGGAAGCACTGTAGACTAGGTCTGCTCCAGGCTTGCTCCCCGAAATTGCGGCAAAGTGAGTGCTGGCTGTAAGCAGACTCTTATGGCCCTCACTGTGGATGAGGCAGCGTAGATGCGGGAATCAGGACTGGCTTTCGTGGGCTTGGTGGCACAGAGACAGAAGAAAGCAGAATGTCTGAGTCTGCCTTGTGCTGTGGACTAAGTATATTATCAACCCTGGAGAAATCCCTCTGGAGTTTGAATTGGGAATCCAAATTCAGTATTTATTACAGGCTATCTCATACTTCACTGTTTGTAATATGTGTGAAAACATAATGAGGTACACTGAGGAAGAGACCCAAATTTGGACACAGCATTAATTTGTTTTTTGTACATCTTTCACGCAGAGCCTGCAAGCATGCCGTGTGAGAGATTTAGTATGCCTGCATTTTGTTCTGTGGGGCCAGGAGAAGCTTCCACTTGTGACGTCAGGTGAGTGTTGAAAAGGTTTGTGTTTGTAGCTTGTTGGATTTTCAATTTTCAACGGTGGGTACTCAGTATGGTGATGGTTCTCAACGAGCCATCAGCAACTAGAAGGTTAACAGAAAGCAGGACCCCATGATACAGTCTCCATGAGGGCAACCTCCTGACAGTGAAGCTGGACACTGATGGAGCTGTTTGGAGGAGGCAGGGCTTTCCCATGCTTGGTAAGGAAGTTCAGTGCTCTCATTTATCTGGGGGGGAGGGGCGAGGGCAGGGGAATCATTCAAATTACCAAAAGAAAATGACGTATGAAATGGTGTTGTTTTGTTTTGTTTTTCTATTTGTACATCAGGACCTCTTTGACTGTAACTAAGAACTGTGGCTAGTTACCCTGTGGGGAACTGTGGAAGGCAGCCTGTGACTGCGGGGTTAACCCTTTCCGGAACTGTATGTCCTTGTAGGCAAAGCAGCAAAAACTGATGACCGCTTCGGAGCTCACGTGGACTGGGGCTAATGATCAATATGTCCTCTGAAGAGCTTGGTGACTTTGACAAAAGCTCCACCATTATAGTTAACTGAGATTCTAAATCAAATGCAACTTTTTTTTTTAATATCCGAAAAAGAACATCTGCTTGGAGTGAAATCCTAGGCTTTCAACCTTTCCAAAAGCTTGGTGAAAAAGTAAATTTCATTAATTCCTCGTTTCTCTTTCCAGAAGAAGAAATCCATTCTAGGAGGTGTGTTTACCCTGCTAGAAGCGGGGCTTCTCTCCGAAGAGATTACCTGCTCTACGGCAGTCAGGGCTAAGCAGCAGATTAGACCTTCTTGCCACGGAAACCCTTTAAACTTCATTTCTGACATTTGAGGTGTTTGATTAAGCAGCTTTTGGGGCAGACTTACAGAGAGAGGTCTGAACAGAGCAAAATTAGAAGCTCTGTCCCTCGGTGGGATCAGATTTGAGGGAACACTTGTCCACTGCAGTGCAAAGGCAAACATAATGAACATACGTGGTGTTTAAAGCTTGGTCCAAGTATACTGGAAGCAGCCAGATAAGAGCGCTGCCACAGACGACAGAGCTCTCAAAGGCTGGCTACGCTCCACCCCACTGAACACTTAGATGCTGCAAGTGTGTGGACAAGACAGAAGCTGAATTAAAAGCCAAACCCTAAATTTGCTAGTTGTCTCTCTGTTTGGCCTTTGAGGTCTACCGTGGTCAACATGATACTTGAAACACAGTAACCAGGTTCTAAACATGCTGGCTGAAGGACAGATAAAGTTACAGGATGAAAAACGTCCAGACACTTCCTCCAAGATATCCCAGACTTCTTTTTACCTGTGTTTCTGCTGCAGTTCATCCTTAGAAAGAAAGAAAAAAAAGACATGGTTTCCACCCCAACAGGAGTCTCATGTCGTTGCGCTATGGAATTTTTAGACTTGAATTTAGGCTGTGGATAATGTGATGAGCAGCTTCCCCTAGAAGGAACTGGAAGGCACGTTGCCTTTCAGCAAACACTCTGACTGTACAAGACGTCAGAGCTCTGGAGCTGAGAGAAAGAGACTGAGACTTGTTCTCAGCTGTACAGAGGACAAGAGTCTTGTGGCTGTCATTCAATGCCCAGCATTTAATTACTTTTCTGCTCATCATCCATTTTTGTGATATAATATAAACTTAATTGACGGGAAAGAATCCAGGAAAATAACAATTTTTGCAAACTAGGCTTTTTGGTGGATTTATACAGCTCAGTACTTATACAAATCAAGATTCCAAGTACATGTTCTTCAGCTTGGCTTTAATCAAAACGAAAACTGCTGGGCCTTTTCAGTGTGATCCACACACATGTTCTCCACATCTTAGCCTCAAAAACACAATTTATAAAATCCGGGTTAGCATATGAAAGAAACAGACAAGAAAATTCCTTCACTTTGCACACTATCTGCCAAAGGATATAGAACTCACCTTGGACTTGAGGCAACACAAACTTGAGAAGAAGACAATGGAGGCACAATAAGTAGGACACACTTACATAATGTTTTGTTTTATATGTATTAAGAAGAAATGCCTACGGTAAGCATAAGGAAATATGGACAAGTCTGAATCTCCAAGACTGTAAAGATTCTCCCATGTTTGATTCCTTGCCAATTTTCCTAAGTGCCGATGGCAGAGATTTGTGGCTTCACATTTTACTTTTATCTCCTGTTAGAGGATTTTTGCCATGGCTACAATAAAATACCAGTACTGAAGATACATAAAGAATATCCTCCAGCCAACAGAAATGCATACTGAAGACAACTGGCAAACGAAATGCCGGGGGTTTCCAAGAAGAGGAGACCCAAACAGTCAATAACTGAGAGAGAATTTCATCAAATTTGCTAAAAAGGCCACGGGAGCTAAAGCAGGATGTGATTCCGCTAGCCATTGAAGCACCAGGCTTCATTTCCTCATGCTAAGGCACATAGAGGGGCAAGAAGGTTGTTCTCTCACCCCTGCCAAGGGGAATGAGTTGCTGGCTCAAGTGACTTGGAGTGGTCGATGGCATCCATGCGGATAATACCTGAGTTGTCCTATGACCTCCACATGTGCACATCTGTCCACTTGCTCACATGTGTGGAGATGCACGTGCACACACACAAACAAAACTACAAAATTCATAAGCTAGAGAAAACTTCACATACATCTCTACAAATCGAAACATGAGATGATTTTTATTGGTGCATTTTTTTCTAAGAGAAAAATTTGAAACAACTTAAATAACTGTCAATGAGGAAAGAGTCAATGAAATAGCATATGCCTTTATGAAAGACTAATACTTAGCATTCAAGAACAATAGCCTGATTTAAATATATTAACTCATATAAGACAAAAATTTCTGTGGAGTAAAAACACAAGTGGCCAAATGATAAACATTGCATGGTTTTTCCTGCATATGTGCCCATTTGATTTTCTATATGGACAAAAATCTAAAAATCATAGCAATCCAGACAGAACTCATGAAAGTCCTTGCCTCTGCCAAGGGGCACAGTAATTAGACTGGAGCTAATAAAGTATGTGTGGTTATTTCTATTGATCAAAGAATAGATTTGATGTAGATACATTAAAATATTAGGAATGACAGATTTTAAATGGTGGCTATGTGTTTTCTTATTGTCTAAACCTCTCCACACTTTTGAAATCTTTAAAAACTAAACATGAAAACTAGCAATACAAAGATGTCCATGTCTACTCCACCTTCTGTCAATATCAGCCCCAAGTAACCTTCTAGTTCTTGTGTAATGTAGATTAATGTCATCTCTGGGTGTGTTTGTAACCAAAAAAAAATCTCATTTGTATTTCTCATAAAATTACTGAGTATGAGCCACAGAAAAGACAAAAAAAATTCTGGTAATGACAAAAATGTTTTCCAGATTTCAAGACTTGAGGTGTTTGTCCCAGCCTTGCATGAGATGTGCTAAAGATCTCAATGCACAGGGAGGCCTCTTGATTTCTCACCCATTCAAAATGGAGAGCCCCTAACATTTTCAAAAATCACATCAGTAATGATTAGCAGGAGCTAACACATTTGCAGAGGGCAATTTCCATCATGCAAGAGGTGCCAGGTCCAAAGGAAACTCCATTTCCTCAAATTAGGGCAGTTAAACAAAAGTCAGCATTCCTCGTGTTCCCCTCCACTAAAAAGGACCCATTTCCCTGGTCACTGACAGGAAGGACAAACCTCCCTTAACCATACCACAGAGCGATCATGTCATCAGTGTATCCTGATGAGGAAGGAGGCTAGAACTTGGAGAATTTTATGAGAAAAGACTCAGTGAAAGCGCAGCACACTCTAGGAGACACTTGTAGGGTGAGACTGTCTATCAGTGACCGTAGAAAATGACGGTGTGACATTTAAGGCCCTTCCCAATGCGCATGTACAGTGACAGCTGCAGCTCAGGGCGGACATTCATGAGCATCACGGTGCACACAGGAAATGTGAGGCAGAGTACCGGAGCAGAGGTTTTGCAGCTTCAGAACAAGGAGGGGCAGCTACAAAGTTGTTTAATGGCCATAAATCTCTGACTATTTTCACAAAATACCGTAGAAGACCGCAGCTCCACAGCTCATCCCCCATCACTCAGCTTGAGTGCAGTTCTTTGGCGTGCTCACTCACCCCTAAATCATAAGCCACAGAAAGGGATCCCGGGGCTGGGAAATTTGTCAGCTTCTTTCAAGTAGAAGTAATCTTCACTTCTGATCACAATTCATTCCCCGAAACCACGGCAGAAAGCTGACTCCTCTAAAAACA